GAGGCTTTTGTTCCATTGTTTTCCCAAACGCTCAAATATGCTTTATTTGTATAATTGCTGACTCTTTTGGTGTCCAGAAAGCTAGTACCTTCTTCCCACTACCCAAACCCCTTCTCTTTGGAACACCAGTACTCTTCTTGAGTGTTTGACTGACTTTTAAGGTCTCTACAGGCAGTCTCTAGTCACACCAGACCAGGGATCTCTGTACTCCTTAGAGGTAACGCTCCCTATTTGACTGGGTAGGGAATCTTCTTCTCTCTCTAGAAGATTTATCCCCTTTCCTTTGGCCTGAGTGGGAGTCTTCTCTACTACTCACTTCCTTGCCAAACTCTCCCCAGTATTCCTATCTGTGTTCAAACTGCTCTCAGCTACTGCTGAATTCAGACTGCGTTCAGTCAAGGTGGAAATCTGACTTTGTCAGCACAAAACCCTTTTTTGCAAGGGCTATTTGTAGATGGTCTCAGTACACATCTCTTCACTGTTAAGGCAGGATTCTGACTTCTCTCAGCATCCAGCTCTCAAAAGACCTTTTCTGCTCAGCTGATGCCAACCAATCAGATTGTCTGGAGCAGCCTGTCACTCAAAGCCCTCTTACTCTGTGAAGAATTAACCCTTCACAGTCCTTTGGTTGTTGTCACAGTACTTCTAAGCCTCTTAAAAAGTGCAGTCTGTCACAGTGTGTGTGTGAGGCAGAAATCATTGTGACTTATCATATCCCACACCCAGAAAGATTATTCATTTATTTCCTTGTGACTTTGTAGGGACTGTTCTCAGAACCATGAGGAGAGCTTGGCCATCCTACGTGCCAGCAATGAGTTCCTGCACTATGCTGTCAGCGTGGCACTGCAGAAGGTGCAGCAGTTGGAGGAGATGGGGCAGACCGATGGGCCGGATGGGCAGAACCAAGAGAAGATGTTCCAGAATCTTTGCAAAATCACTCGGTGAGCTGCACTGTGCAGTCTTGAGATTTGGTAAAGCAGTGGTCTTCAATCTTTCTGGACCCTGGGCCCACTCTGAAACAGTAGCATCAGACCTACTGAGCCATAAGCACAGGACATTGCAATTACATGACTAGAAAAGGGAGAGCTGGAATTGTGAACTCACAAGTGTCAAGGCCAAGACCATGGGCAGCCAGGGAAAATGGATAGCGAGTGTCTGAGCCATGAAGCAAGCCTCTCCCTTTTTGAGTGACCTTGCTTCACCCCCCTTCAACATGTGGGCAAGGAGAGAGCCAGGACTTGCTGTCTACACAGGTGCCCAAGCAGCAAGCCCTTCCGCAAAGGCATCCCCCTCCAAAAAATGGGCAGTTCTGTAGCAAATCATGACCCACGTAAGGGTCCTGACCTGTGGGTTGAAGATCGCTATGGCAGAGCATACTTCTTAAATACGGCTGTATTCAGATACTGTGATATATTGTGGTTTGTGCAACAAACTGGTTTTTCTGTCAGGCAAAGTAACTAAGGTTGTGCCACTGAGGAAGTCCATGTAGAAGAGACAGCCTCACATACTTCATGATCCACTAAGAGAAGGCTCAGTATGTTTGGTTGTATTTTTGCTAAGCAGAGTGCTTAGCCATGTGTGGAATCTGATGTACCTCCTGGATGTGCTGCCCACATGAAGAGTGCAAACAGTGGGGGACTGCAAACCAGGGAGCTGTGCTTTCTCCAGGCAGGTCATGAGACAGTCAGCAAGAACAGTTTTAGCAAGACCGTTAGTGAATGGCCACAGTCACAAGCTGTGCTCTGCCTGTGTAAGCCTAAATTGGGACACGTTGAGTGGAAGGAATGCATGCGTGCAAGGAGAGAAGGTGCATGTCTGGTTCATTAGTGCTGGGTGTATGATTTGTTCAGAGGGCTGTGCTGGTTCCTAGGCTTCACTCTGGGCCATCAAGTGTACTGGAGCACCCAGTCTCCAGGGGACTATCTTCTCTCCCCCCACCATATAGAGTCCTACTCTGGAGGTATACCTCGATCCCAACTGCTGCTGAAGAATCAGGGAAGAAGGAGAAAAGCAAGAACATCTCACTGTTGTGCTTGGAGGGCTTGCTGCGGATCTTTCACACAATGCAACTTCACTACCAGCCAAAGCTCCCCCAGTTTCTACAGGCCTTGGGTAGGCATTTGTGCTGGTCTTGTCTGAATTGTCTCTGTGGGTACTGGGAAGCTGGCCAGCAGGCTTGCTCTTAAAACTAGGGATGGGCACAAACTGGGAAAATGTGGTTTGGTTCGTGGCATGTGTGGTTCGTGAACAATGGAACATCACAAACTTTTTGATGCTAGACGAACTGTTGAGGTTCATGATGTGATAGAATGCCCCCTCACCCCCCGGCATGCTAGAGACAACAGACTCACAGGGGATCTCTGGATGACTCTCCTTTACCTGTCTTCAAGGTTTGGTGATGATTGGATTGACAGGGTCTGAATTACGACCCCCCAAATAAGGTGCCCCCAGGAAAGTGTTTTCTGGGGAAACAACAGGTGCAGGTTCAGGAGTGTATAGAATGGATCATGTGCAAGCTAGAGAGACCAAATTTGCAGCACTTCTCTGGTTGACTCTACTTGCCCTCCAAGTTTGGTGAGGATTGAATTTATGGAGTCCGTGTTACGGCCCCCCAAAGAAGGTGTCTCCATCCTCCATTGTTTCCAATGGAGGAAGAAAAACAGCAAAAAAGCAAGGGCAATAGAAGCTCAGCTGAACAGATTCAAAGTCCCCAATAATCTCTGCAGTGGAAACTGAAGGTGGGGGACATTTTTGGAAGCCCGGCAGAACCAATGCAATATGCCCAGCAGAACCAGTGCTACTGTGGCACTGGAAACCCAACAGGACTAAGGTCAAGCCAGGAAAGTACTGTTGGGGGAAATGTTCAAAAGTGTATAGAATGGCCCTTATTCAAGCTTAGCACACAAAATGCCCAGGGAACCTCACCCTGCTGCCCGCTTCTCTATAATCTCTCCAAGTTGGGGGGAGATTACATATCTGGGGTCCCAGTTACAGACCTCCCAAAAAAGGTCTCCCCAGTGCTCTTTCTGGAAAAAACAGCTGCAGAGTCTATGGAACAGCTCAGGAACAAGCCAATGACCCAAAACTCATAGGGAAACATGACCTGGGAGGGAACCTTGGCATGCCCCCCCCCAAGCCAGACACTGGAAGCAAGGCAAGCATTTCCCCCCACGCTCACAGCCCCCCCAAGTCTCCAAAGGCAGGTTCCTAAGGACAGACATGACAAAAAGACTTCTGACAGGGGTCCCCAAAGTTACCCCAGAATGACAGCTTGGCAGGCACCCCAGCCCCACCAGACAAGTGGAAATCAGAGTTTTCCATTTCAAGAGATTAGTGATGGAAACTGTCTTGCATAATAAAGACTGTACAGTTTCTTGCCCAACTTAGTTTTTATTGATTGAAGAGTTGACGTATGTTCATACATGTCAGAGTCTAGGTGCAAGCTGAGTCAAAAGGCCAAAGTCAGAGTCAAGATTCAGTCCAGAAGGTCAGTTACCAGGGAGCAGAAGGTCAGTTCAGAGCATGGTCCAGAAAGGTCTAGCAGTCCAAGGCTGTATACAGGAGCAAGCAGGTCCGATATCCAAGTCCAAAGCCAGTCTAAAGATCACTGAAGTGGAGCAGAATCAGGAGCAGTGGTCACAGAGTCCACTGGGTGATGACTTTTTGCTTCCACAGCAGGCAGTCCCTCTTGACTGGCTTTTATAGGCATCTGTTGCAAGGTCTTACTTGCAGCCAACTGCTTGGGAGTAACCCTGCAGCTACTCATCAACAAGCAGCTAGCATTGGGCCAGGAGACAGGCGCTTTGTTTTCTCTCCTGGAGTTCCATTCTAAGCCTTTGTCTCTGGTGCTCAAAGGGTGTGGGGGAAACTGAAGGGATGGTAAGGACCAGCTGGGTTTCATCTGTTGAAAGGGGGCTCTGCAGCAGAACTCAGCTGTGAACTCTGATAAGCCTGCAGTTCATAGAATCAGAGTTGGAAGGTACCTCCAGGTTCATCTAGCCCCCTGCACAGTGCAGGAAATTCACAAATACCTCCCCCCCCATCCCCAATGGGTTCTGCTCTATGCCCAGAAGAGGAGGGGGGGAACTCTTCCAAGGGTCCCTGGCCAAACTGGCCTGGAGAACAGTTTCTTCCTGACCCCAAAGTGGCATTCAGCATTTCCCTGGGCCATCTGAACAGCACTGCTGAGTCTGTGAACTTGGGCAGATCATGAGAGGGAGGGCAGGATGACCCTGGAGGTCCCTTCCAACTCTATGATTCTATGACTCACCTTGTTTTTGGCGAGATGATCACTGTGGGTGGCCCCCCTTGTGGAGAATATAGCTTTTTGCCAGGTGTGGTGGCGATGGTCAAGTCTCAGGTCTCCAGAGTGCAAGACCAAACTGTGCACTTCACGGCAGACCTGTGGAGCAGCCAGCAGGATTGTCTGGACACAGGAGGGGACAGTCTTGCCACCGGGCTACAAATATGTTCTGATACATGTGCAGGGGATGGGTGCAGACCACACAGCACAAAACATCACCGCTGTGTGATACAGAGAAGCCTGAGGGAGTGGGTGGGCAGTGGCAACCTTGTCTCTGTCACAGACACTGGCGCCAGTATGCTTGCAGAGTTGACGTGTGTGCACCTTGAGGGCTTCATTTGTCTGGCGCGCACGCTTCATCTGGTGGCGAATGACACTCTGGGGTTTGGGAGCACTGTCAGGGCCACCTGGGACATGACCCCCCCCCCCCCGAGATCCGATTCTTGTTTGAGACCTGCCGGTGCCTGGCCCCGTTTCGTGTTTGAGCCCTGCCGGTGCCTGGCCACCCGGCACAGCATCAAGTCTGCTGTGTGAGAGGCAGGGGGAGGGGGCCACCATGACTGCGCATTTGCGGGAGCAGAAGAGCGCTGTACAGGATGTCATCTCCATGGTCATCCTGCACGAGGAAGAGGAGCTCAGCATCATCTCCAACAACTGGCTGATCTTCCCCCGAATGGTACATGTCCTCAACTCTAGACCCGGCTGAATTGGCCAACTATCGGCCGGTGTTTAATTTGCTCTATTTAGGCAAATTGATTGAGAGGGCGGTGGCGACACAGCTTCAGAGCTTTCTGGATGACGCTTCTGTTCTGGATCCACTCCAGTCCGGTTTTCGCCCTGGCCATGGGATGGAGACGGCGCTGGTTGCCCTTACTGACGACCTCCGGAGGCATCTGGATCGAGGCGGTGTGGCGGCACTGTTGTTGTTAGATGCCTCAAGGGGCGGTGCTGTCCCTGATGTTATTTAACATCTATATGTGCCCCCTTGCCTAGATTACCCAGAGGTTTGGGCTTGGGTGTCATCAATATGCAGATGACACCCAGCTCTATCTGATGTTGGGTGGCCAGTCGGACTCCAGCCCAGAAGTCCTTTACTGGGCATTGCAAGCCGTGGCTGGTTGGCTCATGCTGAGTCAGCTGGAACTGAACCCGGCAAGGACGGAGGTCCTGGACCTGAGTCGGGTCGGTTCAGGTCTGGGGGTCCCTCTCCCAACCTTCGATGGGGCACCTTTGGTGCCAGCGTTGGAGGTTAGGAGTTTGGGAGTGCTCCTGGACTCCTCTTTAAGGATGGAGGCCCAGGTGGCAGCCACTGCCAAGTCAGCCTTTTACCATCTTTGGCTGACTTGGCAGTTGGTCCCCTACCTTGACCACGATGACCTGGCCACAGTGATCCATGCGATGGTCACCTCGAGGCTAGACCACTGTAATGCTCTCCACATGGGGCTGCCTTTGTTGCAAATCCGGAAGCTGCAGCTAGTGCAGAATGCTGTGGCCAGGCTGCTGATGGGTCTCACTAGGTGGGACCATATCAGGCCTGTCCTGAAAGTGCTGCACTGGCTGCCAATAGCATACCGGGTTTGCTCCAAAGTGCTGGTTCTTACCTTTAAAGCCCTATATGGCCAGGGTCCGGCATACCTGAGAGACTGCCTTCCCCCATATGTTCCCCCAAGGGTACTACGGTCAGGGATTTAACGTTGACTGGTAACCCCAAGCCCCAAAGATATTAAATTTGCTGTTACCAGGGCCAGGGCGTTTTTGGTGGTGACCCCTACCTGGTGGAACGAGCTCTCGAAGGAGATCAGGGCCCTGCGGGACCTTATGCAGTTCCACAGGGTCTGCAAGACGGAGCTCTTCCGCCAGGCTTTCGCATAGGGGCCGCTGCCGCCACCACCACCAATGGTGGCGAAAACATTGGGACTAGGAACCACCCTTGGAAGTTCCACCATGAATTGTATGGCACTGACACGGTGGGATTGGCTTGAACTATCTACTAGACAGTATCACCCCAAGGGGAGGATTTAAGGAAATGACTGATGCCATCAAAACCACTCAAAGACCTTTACAGTTACAGAAAGCACTTTATTATTGTTATTGTTATTATTCATGATTTTATTGTTTTATCTGGTTTTATGCACGGGCTTATGCCCCTTGTAAGCCGCCCTGAGCCCGTTCGCGGGGAGGGCGGGGTAAAAATGCTTAAATAAATAAATGAATAAATAAATACTCAGTGAAAGAGAGAGAGAGATTGGGCATGGATGTGGAGAGGGAAGGAACAGTCCGTGTATGTGTGATTGTTTGTGTTAAGTAGTATAAGGTGCTATAGTTGAAAAGCAGGATATAAAATAAATATGTCTGAGAGCCTTGTATTGCAAAGCCATAACTACATGACTTTTCCAAAGCCTCAGCAGAGTCTAAAAGATGTCAATTGCTTTTCAAAGTATATTTATTTATTTAAATATTTATATCCTGCCTTTCCTTGTGGCTGAAGTGTAGTATGTAGATGCTTTTTGTTCAGCTGTAATGACTCTTTTCTGCTGTCCTTTTAAACCTTCTTGCTGTGCTTTCATTCTTCATGGTAGATCCTGCCCACGAAGATGGAGAAGAAGAGGCAGCAGACATTAACGTCACTGCGAAGGCTGGATTCCTGATCCGACAGTTTCAGGTTATCAGTGGAAAAGCTGCCTTGATACTAAGCGGCTTGAAAGAATACCCCTCTTTTCTTAATACTTACAGAGATCTAAAGATAATGTACCATTGGGTCCCATGCTAGCATCCTTCTGTAGAATGTGCAAAACATAATTTTTCTGGAGAGCATTTCAAGGAAGGGGGTATTTGTAAATGGTTTTTAGTATATTTAGGTACCTTGAATTTTGGAGTGTCTGTGAGCAACATGGGCGATAAAGGAAGTAAATAAATAAATAGAGCAAATGGAAGAAAATATTTGCTGACTTTCCAGAGGGAAAGTGAGAAACAGTTAAAATTAAATTTAAATAGTTGAAAATTAACAAGCGATTAACACAGCATTAAAAAATTGGGATTCTGGAACATCCATGTTCTCAGCTCCTCCGTCTACTCAGGCCAAGAAATGTGTAGCTCGTCCTTCTCTGATCGTGTCTCCAGCAGGGGTGTTTCTGCTCACAGAGTGTGTCCTTCCCTTTTCTCCCTCTCAGAGGTCTCTTGTGAATCAGTTCAGTCACTCTGAGGACGACTTCAATAGCAAGGAAGCCCTTTGGCTGATCTCCGTTCTGACGACCCTTTCCAAGCTGCTGGAGCCATCCTCCCAACAGGTACAGACATGGCTTCTCAGGAGGGCAGGGAGGGCTTAGGCATTTTATAGGCTTGCTTTCTTAAAGACAAGGGCAGCTTACCAACTTCAGAAAACAGTCTGCAAAAACCAAAATGCTAATAAAATCTGTTTTAAAAGAATGCCAACACAATGCAGCATCAGAAAAACGAACCCAAATTAGAGCTCTTATTTTAAGAAATAAATAAAGCTGTGGGTTTGCCGTGAGATCAGGGGTGGAAAATGGTCAGTAAAAGTCAGTTTTTTCATCTTGGTCAGTAATTTGTCAGTTTTTTAAAAAAATGGTCAGTAAAGTCAGTATTTCTTTGATTTTTGTG